AGGGAGCTTAGCAGAAGATCTACCTTACTCAAACTTGCCCCATTCATTGATGGTACCAGACTTTTACGTGTCGGTGGAAGAATTACGCATTCAACGTTAGACGAAAACACCCGTCATCCTATTTGACTCCCGAAGGTACATAGAATTTCCACGTTAATCCAACTCAATGAACATCAGAAAAATCTTCATCCAGGAGTGTCTGCACGTTTTGTTCACATCCGCCAGAACTACTTGACTTTTGGAGCACGAAATTAAATAAGGAGGTTAACTCATAAATGTCACAAATGCTTTCGTCAACGCCAGCTAACAACACAACAGTTCATTGCTGATCTACCAGCAGTGCGGGTTCGACAAGCACATCCCTTTGAAAATACTGGGTGCGACTACGCTGCGCCCTTCGCACTGAAATTATATAGCGGAAGAAATGCACGTACCTCCAAGGTATATTTACTTATTTGTTTGCCTCGTTACATCTGCTATACACCTCGAACTCGCTACTGACCTAAGTACTAATTGCTTCCTTACAGCATTTTGCCGTTTCATGTCCCGTCGTGGAAAGTGTACTTCAATCTTTAGCGATAATGAAAAGAATTTTCTTGGTGCTTTTCGTGTGTTAAACGAGATGCATGCAGCAATTATGTCACAGTTTTGGAACGAAATCATTTCCGCGTCTTTAGCAGAAGACGGAATCCGATGGAGTTCTATCCCACCACATACACCACATAGGGGTGAAATCTGGGAATCGGCAGTGCGATCAGTCAAGTTACATCTACGGCGCGTAATAGGCAATGCAGTGATTACTTTTGACCAGATGAATACCTTGCTGACAGAAATTGAAGCAGTTGTAAATTCTCGCCCCCTAGGCGCCACTTCAGACCCGGATACTAATTATCTTCTCCTTATCATTTTTTGATTAATCGTCCGTACACGTTGGTTCCAGAAAGCGATCAAAGTCATATAAACGTCAACAAATTAGACTACTGGCAGCACATACAAAATATGCTTCAAAGATTTTGGCGTATATGACATCAGGAATACTTAACATCTCTACAACACCGTCCAAAATGATTTTGACGGCAACCAAATATAGCTGTGGGCAACATAGTGGTCAGGAATCGAACATACCACCAGTAAAGTGGCTCATGGCTAAGGTAGTTAAAATACATCTTGGTTCAGATGGGCTCGTTCGAGTCGTAAAACTTCACTGTTCACGGGGAGATAACGCGACCCATTACGAAGGTTATTGTTTCACCTATATTCTGAAACGCTGTTTCAGGGTCGCCCGAGATGTTTGTGAATCAAATACACAGTACATTGGGATTGCACCTTTTTGAACATTTGTTCAAAAAAAGCAAAATGCATTGAAACAGCACCCTTTTGTAGAGACACTTTTTGCTTGGTTGTTATTCGTAGTAGTTCGGTGTGTGCACGTGGGATCTTTTGTTTGTTACAATTGTAAAACTTGAAAATAAAATAAATTGTATTCTTAATCATTTACTATTAAATTGAAAATTAAATAAAATGTATTCTTAAACACCAACTCTTCGAGGCATGCTCTCATATTTTGAGTTAACGTTATACGATTGAAAAACGGGAATTCTGCCCAACTCGTTATACAATTTGCAATCATTACTGATCGTGATGCATGAGAAACTGCAAGCAATATTTTTCTAAAATCATCACATAATAATAATTTTACATTTTTTAATTTTACTACATATCATTAGTTAATTCGAATAGCCTACTCAGCTCAAGAAGAAATTTAAATTTGCTTTTTGTAATTGTTACTCAAAATCAGTACTGAAATCCTACTTTGACTTTATACAGTATCACATGCGAACGTACATGCGAAAAAATAACGTCGTGAACTTCTCCACGTCTTCACCTTTTTAACGGTATAAATTATTTCCATATATGGCATATATTGTTTATTGAGTTGATTTAAAAATATTGATTCTTAAATTTTGATACTTCTGTAGCTAAATTTTAAAAATTAAGGAAATTGTAGTGGATATACATTAATAATTGAACATGGATTATATTTGTCAGACCTGTTTTGTTTAGCAAATATAATATATAAACGGTTAGGAAGTCGAAGTTTATTAACCAATAAGAAATTATTGAATTTTACACCATCATTAACTTTATAATGATTTTTATTAAGTTCTCTTCCTACTTTAAATTTATAAGGAAAACTTTTATCAATAAGTAGAATTGTTAATTGATCTTGATAATTAATAATTAGTTTATTTTATTATATATTAGTTTAATTTTATTATTAAGAGTTGTCAATACATTATATCTATACTATATTCTTATAGTCAACATGGAAAAATTTATTTAGAAGTTTGTTCATTTTGTATGAGAAATCTTCGTGAATTTATTATGTCAATATTTCATCGATTGTTTTTTAAACTTATTAAGTATAAATATTGAAATAATTTATTTTTAATTATAATTTAAATTGATGTTTTTTGATATTATTTAAAATTATGAAAAATTTATCATTTTATAGAATAAGATTTTGATTTTTTGGGATTTAAGATTTTGATTTTTTGATTTTTTTGGACTCAGACAATGCAAAACACAGATCAAACCATATACCTACAAAAACATTCTTAAATTCTCAAAAAGTAATTTAAAGTTGAAAACAAGTTTCAATACAGGAGATTATGCTCTGAAATATCATTTTCCTAAACTACGATTATCTGCTAAGATGAGGAAACCATGCCCATTCTTTGTGATGGTGCAGCTTTAACAACGCACAGAAAAAATTTATTTCATATTGAATTTCTGTCGCCAGAATAGTTTAATAGCTGTTTTCTAGATTTAGTTCTGGACTTTGTTCATAAAACTTTAAAGGGCTTTGTGTAATCAAAGTAATGAAATTAGTACAATAGAACTATCGATTTCGCTAAAATTTCATAAAACTGAAAACAAATTATAATTACGTACAAAATAATGCTGTTTACTTCTACACAAAGAAGTAATTTGGATTTCACAACAAATTCTAAAATAAATGAAATCAATTGCATTGAAAACGAAGCAACATAAAACAAACAACTATTTTTTGGTGTTTTGGCAAACATTTATTGTTTTGATATTCTCATAAGTTGCTCTTCATGATTTCTCTGTTGTTAAATGCACGTTTGTACATAAAAACACCAACAATTATAATAGTTCAGAGCGCACAAGTTGACTCGAAATAATACAAACACTCCAGCCTCTCCCGCATAGAGGTAGAGAACTATCGATAGTCAGCACCATCGATAGTGAGCGACAGTTTTTTTCCAAACCATCGATAGTTTTCGATAGTAGGTTAATTTCAATACAAATATCTGTTCAATTCAAAAAATTATGTTTTAATTTCAAATTTCAACTAAAATTTAATTAATATCACACAGTGCTGTTGTGGGATTAAGAAGCCCTGGATGAAATCTCTTCAAATGGTGTTGTAGGTTCGTGGTGTAACCGCTCGTCTTATACTCTATGCCACAGTTTAGGCACTTAGCGAGTTTTTTATCCTGATCTTTTAAAGTATCTCCATAGTTTCGAAGTACCTTTCTTTCATTTGGGCGTTTCATTTTTAATCGTACTAGCGTCCGAGTCAGCGCTATTGCAATAAAACGTTAACATTTTGAATACTGCTTTTTCGGCTCCAGTCAGAAACTTCTCCATACTATTTAATAGTAATTTAATGTGGAAATGCTTATCTCCGTAACGTTTTTAGAATTCGAATTTAAAATTCACCATTGAAAGTTCTCCATCTCTACTCCCGCATCTTAAAAATACAAAATTTAAAATAGTATTAAATAGTCTTTGGCTATCAGAATAAATGTGTTGAAGGGTTGCATTTGTTTTTACGAACTCCTACATACATTCAGAAAAATAAAACATTGATTCCAACTAATATTACATATTATGTTATAATACATTTAATATAGTTATAATTCATATAATATAGTTATAATACAGATGCTGTAAATAAAAATAAATTTTTATTTTATTTATTTATATTTCATAAACCTACTTATTGCCTAAAAATAATTTGTTAAACAAAAATTTCTTCGCTTATTTGTTTTCTTAATTCAAGACAAATGTGTTCGGTAAGTAAGAGGTTGAATTTTATTCAAAAAGATAGGTATTTTCAACAAAATTTAAGAAAACATGACAATACTATCTTGGCTAATTGCCTATTCAAACCAGCATTGATTTATTGTAGTACATATTAGGTTAGGGCGGTGTGGCGGCCTTGTGCCCAAAACCCAATAGAGCTCAACACAAATATTACAATTGATCAAAATTGTTGTTCTAGCTGGCCATTTTGATTAACTGCATTTAATGTAAATTCTTAATTTATTATCTTGTTTGCATTCTGTTTATTCAATACACATTGTTTTACAAACACAATATTTCGTTGGGAACCTGAAATACAAATACAAAAATGCAGAAATAATAGTTTCTATAAATATTTTTAAGAAGTTTGACTTCACTAACAATAAAATAAAACAAATAATTTTCATAATTTCTAAATATTTTTAATATGTGTATGTAAATACAAATTAAAAAATTTTTTATTGAAAAACCATTATGACATTATGACATTTTAACATTTTCTAATAAATTAAATTAGTTTAAACTTAGCCTTTATTTGATTTATTTTGTGTTTGCAAGTTTTTCTCCACTTAAGTTTTTACTGAACGCAATATCGTTTATCAATTATATCCTATGCAAATCGCACGCAACAGACGACTGCCTTATTCTAAAAAAATAAAAAAATGACCCATAAGTTTGTTTTACTTACTAAATGTACTCAGCTACATTTGTGTAAATACATATCCTGAATTTATACTAAAATACCAGAATAAAAATAACAGTGCAAAACTCATTGCTTTATAACAAGCTTTTTACATGAAAAATAATAAAATTTATATGTAACATATAACAAACTTATAGAGAATAAAGATTGGTAAATTTATTTAATTTATTATTTTTATTAGTACCCTCAACAATTATCTTATATGGCAAGCCATTCGTTCCTTAACGTCATGCCTTTCAAAACCATTTCGCGACGCCTACAAAGTTGTACGTAAGTCTTTGATGGGTTCGGATGGCGGAGAGGAAGTTTGGAGATATTGTATTGCTGACACAAACAATGTAATTGGTTTTGCAGTTGGAGCAATATTTGTTCGACAAGCTTTCGACGGCGAGTCAAAGCCAGCAGCTCAGTCCATGATCAATGAAATACGAGATGCGTTTATGAAAAATATAAAAAACGTGACATGGATGGACGCGGAAACTCAAAATCGAGCAATTGAAAAAGCCAATGCTATATCAGACATGATCGGTTTTCCTGATTATATATTGAATAATAAGGAGTTAGATGAAAAATATGCCTTTCTTAATATTACACCAAATGCCTACTTTGACAATAACATACAAATTTCAATTTATAATTTAAAAAGTAATTTAGAAAAACTATATCTTAAAGTAAATAAAAGCCAATGGGGTATGACACCTCAAATGGTTAATGCTTATTACACACCAACAAAAAACCAAATCGTTTTTCCCGCTGGAATATTACAATCACCTTTTTATGATATCAATAATCCAAACAGTTTAAACTTTGGTGCTATGGGTGTTGTAATGGGTCACGAATTAACACACGCATTCGATGATCAAGGTAGAGAATACGACAAATTTGGAAATATTAATAGCTGGTGGAATAAAAACAGTATTGAGCGATTTAATAAAAAAGTTGAATGTTTTGAAAAACAATACAGTTCCTACAAAGTAAATGAACGACAACTAAATGGAAAGCAAACCTTAGGTATAATATTGTTGTATCTTATTAGTATATAATGACACTACTAAATTATATTATATTTTATATTTTATAAAATGTTATACTTAAAAATGTTAATATATACAATTTTGAACTATTTTCTTGTAAACTTAGAAAGCATTTCATATCTATTTATGTTTGTATTTATTAAAGAAATCAATTTCAATATTTCTCAGGTGAAAATATTGCCGACAATGGTGGATTAAAAGCTGCATACCATGCTTTTTTAAAAACTAAAGCGAATAAGAAAGCTGACACACTAAAGTTACCAGGTTTAAATTTAACTCACGAGCAGCTTTTTTTTATTTCGTTTGCACGAGTAAGTTTATATAATTGGTATATTCAGACTCGATAACTTGATAACTTGATAAGGTGATAAAATTTGGTGTGCATTTCTTATGTGGCATCAGGTGTGATAATTTTTTGATATTTGGTAAAACATTTTTGATTCTAATTATAATATAGTACTGTAGTGCTGTAGTTAATTTAATTTGAAGTTTGAAGTGCTTGAAATTAACAAATATGGATATATTGATAAAAATAAATAAATTAAATATAACAACGAGGTTATGGTTTAATTTTAAATACCTCTTTACACTTTTTCTTGCAAGTTTTTGGCTTTTATATTTAACAAAATAAAGAAAAGCAAAATCAACTGTGTTGGCCTTTTTACCGAGAAAGAAGGAAAAAGGAACATTCGGACATTTGTCATTTTATCACCTCACCATATACCGAGTTATCGAACTACCGAGCAACATCTAAAAACTACTGATATTTAATGTAAAATGATTATTATGGTGTCTACATTAGGTTTGGTGCTCCAGTACCACTGATGAAACAAGTTTACTACAAATGGAAAAGGATGCCCACTCCCCATCTAAATACAGAGTAATTGGCACACTTTCAAACATGGCAGAATTTTCCAAAGTATTTAATTGTAGTTCAGAAAGTAAAATGAATTCTTCGAATAAATGTGAAGTGTGGTAATTGAGTTATATAAATTCGTATAACTAAAATTATGTAAGTTATATGGAAATGTATTTCACCAACGTAAAAATGTATTTATTTCAGAATGCTTGATTACCAAGTTTATATACTTAATTGTTTTATATATACAAATATGAAATACAGTAATGAAATAGACTTAAATGTAATAAGTATATCCTAATTTTCCATTAAGAAATAAAGAATAAACAGTTTATATGCTTTTTCATTTATTTAAACGCAGTTTTAGGAGCCACGTATACCTTATATACTTGTTGATTGGTGCATATTGTAAGTAGAATAGAAGAATCTCACAGCTAGGTTGATACAAATGTACATGTGATGAGCCCCCTACTCTACTGACTATTTTACACCTAAATATTAGTCTGTTTTTTATAATTTATGGATTACAAATTACACAATTATAGTACTCCAATACACCGTTCAAAATAAAAAGAAAATTTTCCACATGATTTATACATATAATTATATAATTATAATATATTATCCATTTCACATTCTTTTAGAAAACAGCGCTTCGATAAGAAATAAATAATCAAAACTTTGATATTGCGATATACACTCTGACTTTCAACTAACAATTAATGACAAATTTTCTAGCTGTTACTCTTTTTATATGACTTTGTTATCTACACATAAATTTTCAATAATTCATATTACTTTATTTCTCATTTTTTTCTCTTTATATACAGAAATTTGTTCCCATAATATATAACATTACATTTATCTATTCAATACTACCTCTGTTGTTTGGATCCACAATGAAAAGTATTATTGCCGAAGGTTGTCTGTTTTTCCTTTGGAGAATTTGTTATTTAATTTAGCGGTGGACGGATTTATTTTATTATATTGTAATTTATTATAAAAGATGTAGAAATAAAGATAAATCGAATTTTTAAATATATTTTGGCAACTGATGTAACAACAATACGAACTTCTCATGTAATTCTTTTAAGAGGTAGTGATATTTGATTTTCCATATGTAAATAAAAAAAATTATTAAGATATCATAATTTTAAGATTGTTTTAAATTTAAATATTCGAGAATTTTATTAACAGAATACTTTGCATATTAAATGCATTTGAACATAACTGTACGTAGGTCAGTTAGAACACATAACTTAAATATGCGTATGTATTGGGTAACAAATTTATTTGAATTCATTTTATTGATAACATTTTATCAGCAATAAAACTATTATGTTTGATTTGGTTTTAAAATAGTTATTTTTTTTAAATTAAAGTATGAAAGTAAGTCCACGAAAACTACAAACACCTGTACACAGTTTGTTGCTCTGTAAATTAAAAAAATATGTGGTGTATATAATACATATACACTTTTATATTGTGTATGAAGGCACATCGAAATAATGTATTTCAGATAACTGAAGTGTTTTTCAATATGATTATTTTCTGCAGAAAAAAGTTATATTTTGAGTTTACTAATTGTGAAAATATTGTATTTATTTAATGATAAATTTGTCGATTAAATTTAAAATATCTTATCAAACCATGGTGTATATAAATACTGTCATATGTGTAAATACATGTAAGTACATTGGTATATGGAAAAAACAAGTTCATTATAAAACAGTAAACGTATAGTATTAAAAGCTATTTTTAAGCATATACTTCTGTACTTCTGAGTTATTTCTAAAATTATAAAATATATTTATATTTTATATATTAATAAATATAATTACTTTTTGTTAGGATGCTTAATGCTAATATTTTCTAGTATTGTCAGAAGTCACAAATTTTATAGTCTTTATTTACAATTTTTAAGAACAAAGATTAAGAACTCAAATATTTAAAATTTTGAAAGTAATTTTATTTTATTAAACAACACTTATATTAAAGGTTTGAACTGCTAACTTTAGAGAACTGCCCGGGGTAAAACCTTTTCCCTTAATTTCATCTCGACAAGTACAATACAACGACCTGCATTATCACCAGAACTTTATCCTATATAAAGAAAGTTTCTATTTAATATAATGTCTTATAACCGTCTTTTACCTTGGCCCTGGTGACGTGATTTTTTTTTATACCGAGGTATTTAAGCATTACAATACAATAATTATCAAATTATTGCAATGAAAATCTTGAGCTTTAAATCAAATACTGGACTCGTATGAGAGTTTTGTTTTGTATCTTTAGCTATCAATTGTGATTGCTTTCAATGCAAATGAAAAGTTTTGTATTACAAACAAAACTTTCGTCTAGATCCAGTAAAAGTAAAAGATTCGGAAATCACTTGTGTGTATTTCTTACACAACCGAAGGCTTCTTGCCGTTAAAATGAAGATAAATATGTTCTATATTTTAGGAGTTTAAAGTTTTTAAGTGGGCAGTAATTAACATGCGCATACATAATGTAAAATATATGTTTATTAATACATAAATATGTTTATTAATAAACCTACAACAATGAGTATTTCATACGTAGTAAACCATCAATAGGTACACAACAACAATTTGCATTAGCCAGTGAACACAATCCACATTTTCATGATATCATATAATTTATTATTATAATTTTAACAAAAATCAATACAATTCAGTTAAAACAAGTAAGATCAGAGCATGCATTTCGAATTGATGTTTATATGACGGCTTTACTAGGCAATGCAAATTGTTGTCAATTTTTACTGCTTTAAGCAGATCACGTTTTTGTAAAAATTTATGAATGGAACAAAATATTTGATTATTTATTGCAAGGAAACAAGTAATATAAAAAAAAATTAAATTAACATATTTACATTTGCATATATTCTTTACATATTTACTTATATTAATTGTTAAAATATTTTCCAAATATTAGAAGCAATGATAATTTATTCACTGACACATTAATGAATTAAACTGCCTTGAATAAAATTATGTACACTATTCCTATGGTATGTTTTATTGTAAAATATGTTATAGTAATATTCCAGTTAATTTATTTATTTTTAATATATTTAAATACATATATCAATTATAATAGTCATATTATAGTATTATAACATATATACTATAATATACTTAAAATTAATACCTAATAATTAAAATAGATATTATGCATAACACAGAATTGTATTGATTTCTGTTAAAATCATAATAACAAATTATATGACATCAAGAAAATGTGGATTGTGTTCACTGGCTAATAAACCATACCATAGGAATAGTGTACATAATTTTATTCAAGGCGTTTAATTGATATTAAGTGCCAATGGACAAATTATCGTTGCTTTTAAAATTTATAAAATACTGTGGCTATCAAAACAAGTACACATAAAATAAAAACAATTAAAATATGATTTGAAACTTGTTTTTTTCAAATAAATTTTTATAAAAAGTGATATAAATAAATATGTAAAGAATATATGCATATGTACATATCTATTTTTATTTTTTTTTACATTGCTTGTTTTCTTCAAATAAATAAGCAAACATTTTTTTTCATTAACAAATTTTTGCATAAAAATGATCTGCTTAAAGCAGTAAAAATAAGCAACAATTTTCTTTGCCTAGTATAGCCGCCATATAAACAATTATTCCAAATGTATGTTGTGATCTTAATTGCTTTAACAGAATTGTATTTATTTATGTTAAAATCATAATAACAAAATATGTGGTATGTAGAAAATGTGGATTGAGTTCATTGGACCTAATATTTGTATGCTTCAACGAAAGCTCTAAAGTGGCACATTTTCTCAAGCTTTTAATATAGTGACATTCAGTATACGGCAATACCGCAACGGTATTCAGTCAGGGTTACGAGGAGATATGACGTCTGTAATATAATCTAATATGGCGTTTAAATTGGCTGAAAATGGCTCATTCTGAATGAGTCATTTGAAAGTGTTTACATTCGTTGTATTTCATTTTTTCTCATTTCAAACAGCTAATTTTTCAACTTGCATGTTGATTTAACTTATGGTCTGTGCCAAAAAAATGTTACAGGAAGGTTAAATATACCTTCAAACCTTACAATATAAACTGAAAACTTGTTTCTAGATTCGATTTATTTATTTTTGGGAAGTAGAAGTTCCAAAAATTGGTGCATCGTTTTAAAGAAAATGCAACCACCAAACATTTGTTTACTTTTTTTTGTAAATATGTCAAAACAGCTTTTTCAAACTGTCAAAATGCCATGAAGAGCTTTCATTTAGGGTATGTTCTGCAACTAGATTCACCTTTGCATTTGGAATTGTGGGGAATGCAGTTTCAGAAGTCTGGTGTAGAAGGAATTGAGAAAATTGCTCATTTTTGTGCTTGAAATTTTATATGCAAGAATGAGCCATTCGAGACTCATTTTCGATTTTTGACCAAAATGAGCCATTTTCGGCCAATGTAAACGCCATATAAAGCTAATTAGCACTAAACAATTCTACACATATTTTTGTTTTATTTCTTCAATACAAATATAACAAACAAAATTTTAAAATGAAATATGGAAAATATTGAAAAAATGAAAAAAAAAACAACGGAAAAGTCAATGTCACAAGATTTAGTTTTCCTTTTCGATCAAATCATGTTTCATATACATAAACATCCAGTAAGGATATTACTCTTATCTACATATTTATATACATCTTGATGTATGAAAAATTAATTCCAGATCTTATTATAACTAATTAAGTAAACTGCAAACCGATTTCATATACATATACATATATATATTCTTACAAATATTATCAAACATTACTCTAGTCCTAGAGAAAATAGTATCCACAACTATTCACTGAGAA